AGGTCGTCATGTAATACACGCATTACTTGGTAGTGGCCATCAAAAAAAATAATTTGTTGAAAAAACAATTAGCGATCTAATCTTACCCACAATGACGCATATGAATCACATTATCGCATAATGCACGAATGTTATCAGAAGTTTATAGAATCTGATTATTCGCAAACACCATAAATATGTAATTTAAAATCGTTAACTACGTCTTTATTTTGTACGTCAAGGTTGAATATTTTTAAAAAGTCAGAAGGAATCTCGTAAATCAGTCTGGATAATTAACGGGTTTTTTAAAAATTCAGCAATTAATTTTTTTAATAAGTGTGTACAGGTTACAACACCAATTTTGGAAGAAAAATGATGCTAAGGTTTTACAAATGAATATGTTAAGTTCACAAGTCATGTTTTTCTTATTGAAAAATTGGTCTAAAGTAATTTCGATAGGACTTCCCTCGCACCTGAAGATAAATATTTAAATAAATTCAATATGCCAGAAAAAATATGTCAACAAGGATGGGATCGAACTAACGCGAGCAGTCGCTAGGGACTTAACCCAAATATCAACTTTTTTGTAAAGTAATTGTGATAAAAATCAAGGCAGACTCATAAACCACAAATATAGGAGTATATGTTCCGTTATAAAGTGTAAATATGAGTTACTACGAACATTTACATCACGCGATTCTTGGTGAACATGAACAGAATAAAATCTATATAACAAACTCAAAATATTTGGAAAAAAAAGAGTTTCGGAGAATATTGATAATAAATATTTTCATTCAATAAACTGGGAACTGTTCAGAAAACAAGAAATGAAGGTTTAATAAAAATTACCCTGCTACACTAGGTTTGGAAATTAAGAACATTCTAAAATGACTGTAACCGAAACTTCATTAAACACTTCCCAATAAACTCGAACATTGAAGTCCCACTGTTTTCAATTATAATGAAAAAATATAGGTATTCAAAACAATTCTGAAATTTTAGAAAAACAATAACGATAATAATTGCAATGAATTATATTATTAATTGCAGTAATGCGTAACACGTAAAGACGGTCACTAATGAGATAAAAATTAAAATTGGATTTACTTTTCAAATAATTAACATTGATTAAAACCTATTAGACATTCCAAATTATTTCAGCCGAAAAGGCCAGTTTTAAACAATAAATATCTGAGGAGATATATACATAAATCCTGATTTCTTTTACCTTCCGCGCCGATCCTTACAGACTCCTTCCTCATGGACATCACAACACACACCCTTCCACTTCAACAAACTAATTTACACACCGCACACCTCAACAAATTCAGAACCGACAGAACTCCTTTGCATGCGTAACACGGAAAAATGGACAAAAAATTCTCGGCGATAGCTTATCATTCTTATCAGACAGTTTTTGCAGTTTTTTTTCATCGATGTATCGCACAATGATTGATTTTTAAATAAAATACTGCAACATTAGTAAATAGAACATAATTTTCACACTGTGTGGACGAATAAGAAATTATGAATTTTACATACAATTAGCCAAAAATAAATTAGAAAACTCGATTTAAATACGCCTTTCGAAACTATTTTATTTTTCGACAGATAATGACAGAAACACAGAATTCAATTTTTTTGACAATTTTTGATAAATAAAAAAAAAAGTACCGAAAATTAAACATTCGCTGTACTTTGTCAAAAAAAAACTCTTGAACTCAATCTAATACTATTACTTGCTAAGATAAGACTGAATTTGGCAAATTATATACCCCTTAAGAAAATAGAGGGTGGGTGGGCGGGGTTAGTATTTGTTAAAATAAGTTCGATTTTGGCAAATGATATGCCCTCTCAGAAAATAGAGGACAGGTGGGTGGGGCTAGTATTTGCTATGATAAAAATGACTTTGGCTAATGACATACCCTCTAAGAAAATAAAGGGCGGGTGGGCGGGGCTAATATTTGATAGGATAATACTGATTTTGACGAATGACATATCCTCTAATACAGCTATAATTTAAAAGTATTTTCCAACATATAGTGTTTCGTTTAACTTATACAATAAAGCTGTATGTTTACTTTCAGAACGTAAAGTGGGATTTATAAACTTGCTGTTTACGTTGAAGTTCCCGCTAACGTTGGTTTTAGAGCTGAAAATTGTCATTTATAAACTCCGTTGCCAAGTTGCCATTGATAGTAACTTTGATATTCCACTTTTGCCGTATTTAAAGGGGTTGTAGAAGAAAAGTGGAGGATTCATTTTGATTTCTACAAAAAATTACCATTTTAGACATGTTTTAAGTTTCTTGTTGTCGAAATAAGTCTACACATGTAAAGAAAAAAAAGGGCAAAATGTAGCCCCGCCCACCCGCCCTATCTCAATTGTGATGATTTTTTTTATTCGTCGTGAGTCAAGGGGGCGGAGCTTAACTGCAAAATCTTTATTTCTCTACGCGAAATTAAAAACATGTTTTTCAGTATCGTGTTCTTCAAATAATACTATGTATATTAAGAAAATCCGACTACATATATTTAGAAAAAAGGCAAAATATAAGCCCCGCCCACCCACCCTATCTCAATTGTGACGATTTTTTTTTTTAATCGTCGAGAGCGAAAGGAGAGGAATTTAATTGCAAAATCCTTATTATTTCTCTACAAGAAATTACAATCTAAGACATGTTTTTGAGTATGGTATTATTCAAAGAATATTATGTATATTAGGAAAAAATTAAAGCCAAAGATTAAGTTCCACACATATCTGCCCTGACCTAAATAGTAATGAAGTTTTCATTTGTTAGCAAACCTAGGAGCAGAGCTTAATTGCAAAATCCATCTTCCGTTTGAAAAATTTACCATTTTAAACGTGCTTTAAATGAGTTTCTAAGAATAAAAAAATCATCATAATTGAGACGAGGTGGGTGGGCGGGTTTAATACTTTGCCTTTTTTTCTTAATATACATAGCATTCTTTAAACAGTTAAACAACACGATACTGAAAAACAGGTTTTTAATTTCTTGTAAAGAAATAGATATTTTGCAGTTAAGCTCCGCCTACTTGATTCACGGCCAATAAAAAAAATCATCACAATTGAGATAGGGCGGGTGGGCGGGCTTATATTTTGCCTGTTTGTTTTAATATGTGTACACTTCTTTTCACAACATGAAACTTAAAACATATTTAAAATGGAAAATTTTTATAAGGAAATATCATTTTTGTAAATAGGCTCGGTCCCATAATTGCAAAATCCATATTTCCTTGCAAAAATGTACCATCCTAACCATGTTCTAAGTTTCTTGTTGTGAAAAGATGTATGTTAAGAAAAAAAAGGCTAACTATAAGCCCCGCCCACCCGCCCTATCCCAATTCTGATGATTTTTTTTATTCGCCGTGAACCAAGTAGGAGGAATTAATTTCAAAATACCTATTTTACAAGAAATTAAAAACATGTTTTTGAGTATCGTGGTTAATTGTAAAATCCTTATTTTTCTACGAGAATTTACCATGTGAAATGTGTTGTTAAGTAATCGTGTTATACAAAGAAAACTAAATGTTTTAATTAAGAAAGAAAACCAAAAGAGAAGCCCCACCCATCCGTCTCGATCTCAAGGGGTGGAGCGTAATTGCAAAATCGATATTTCCCTATACAAATTTACCATTTTAAACATATTTTAAGTTTCTTGTTGTGATAAGAAAAAAAAGGCAAAATGTAAGACTCGCCCACCCGCCCCAACTCAATTGTGACTATTTTTTTATTTGTCGTGAGCCAGGGGGGTGGAGCTTTATTACAAAATTCTTATTTTTCTACAAGAAATAAAAAACATGTTTTTGAGTATCGTGTTGTTCAAAGAATACTATGTATATTAAGAAAAAAACAAGCCAAAAATCAGCCCCACCCATATCCATCCCAAGCTCAATTGTGATGAATTTTTCATTCGTTGTCAGACCGAGGGGCGGACCCTAGTTGCAAAATCGATACTTTCCTACAAAAATTTACCATTTTAAACATGTTTTACCTTTCTTGTTATGAATATTAAGAAAAAAGGGTAGTAGTTATTTCGTGAAATTAGTGCTGTTAACCAGAAACATGTTCCCCCTACTTCAGAGAATTTTCCTCCAAGTTGGCAGCACTACCGCAATTTGATTGGTTGAAAACCCAACGTCAACGGCAACGTAACCGCGAAAGGTAAAAGTTGGTCATCTCGAACGACACCCCAACGGCGATGCGAACTTTCAACGGCAACGTCAACGGATAATATAAACGACGCATACCTTCGCTGCGTATTTATCTTACAACAGCAACGTCAGCGGCAAGTTTATAAATCGACCTTAAGTTACAAAAGTATTCTACTAAGAATCCATGCGGCCACTTTTAACACTGAAAAATTGTAAATCGAAAAACTGAAGAAACAAAAAAAAATGAAATTTAATTAGAATTGAAAAATTCAAGACAAAGAAATGGATTTAATTGGGTTGTACTTGAAGGGCGAGGGAATTTCGTCGACCAATTTTACCAATTTAAATAATGTATTTAAATAAATTCCAGTAATAATGGAGACTCCAGATAGCTGTATTAAATGTGCTTATGCAACTCACATTACACAGGTCGCTCTAGTGTTACAAAAAATATGATTCAGTTTCACAACTCTGAAACTTTACGACTTTGCGATTTTTCATGTAAAAGACTCGAAACATATAATGTATAATTAAGTTAAAATATTTCGTTCAAAACGAAATTTACCTGTGTTTCAAGAGAGGTAAATATGAGTACAACAGATTTTTTTAAGTGTTTTTTAAGTATATCCTGTATTTTTGTGCTTGGGGCTGACACTGGATTTTAAGAGCACTTTTAACGAAACAAAAGAAAATCGCAATCCTGAAAACGCTTTGAACATACTCTCTTCCAAATTTAAAATTTTTTAAAGTAAATATTTGGACCCATAATGTCCTAGTCGTTCCAACTAGACAAGTTAGTTCGATTAATTATTTAATAATAAATTAACTAAACCCCTGTCATTCTAGGTGCAGCAGCAATGTCCAACACGTGCAGAAATCTCACCATGCTCGTGTACATTGAAGAAGAACGGTTTAGATATCTTGTGTGAGTTCACCGACCAGCAACACATCAGTAGTGCCATGGGAGTATTAAAAAGAAAAGAATTCGTTATCTTTTACCTGAAGCTTCGCCACAACAATTTGCGAAAACTACCAGCTTTCATTTTCTTAGGTTTAGATATCCGTCATCTGACCATACACAACAGCAGCTTGTCGACGGTGGAAGAGACATCTCTTAGCTCAATCGGTAAGACAGGACGCAATTTTTTCAATGGTTTTAATAGAATCACTTAGGTAAAATGTTGACGCAACTCGACGTGTCCCAAAATAGCCTAACGGCCGTTCCATCTGCGGCCTACAAGAGCCTGCACCAACTACTCATTTTGAACATGAACCATAACAAGATCAGCAATATACATTCGAGGGCTTTTCTGGGACTCGACACGCTGGAGATTCTTACTTTGTACGAGAATAAGATTACAGCGATTGAGGATGAGGCCTTTGTGGGGCTGGAAAAGTGAGTTATTTTAAGCTTTAAGAGGTTTTGTAATTTTTGTTATTGCGGGCGAAGCTGTCAACTAAATCCGCAAAATTTGTGTACCTCCTCAGTAGCGTCCACTCACTGACGGAGTTATTTTTCAACTGAAAGTTTTTTTTGACACCGGAAAACATGTAGTATTTCTAGAGTTTTTGATATATCTAGAAACTTGAAGTACTTGAACCTTGCCTAATCTATTTTTAATTATACATTGGCTCTTATTTGAAATTGTCGGTTAGCAGTTCAATTTACCACGTTTACGTAATTTAAGCGGTCACTTAGCGAAGTCAATCAAACACATTTATCACTGTCATCCGTAGGAAACTGTCCATAAATTATTCAACGATTTAGAATAATTTCAGGTATTACATTAAGTAATAGCCATCACCACGTATAAGCGCACCACCATTAAAAATAAATAGCAACTTCTCACGTTCCTGCCATCGATTACCTTTAAGCTCGTCCGAATGCTTATTCAAAAATCCTCAGAAAGTACATTTTAAAATTCCATCTGCACGTTGCATCACCTCGTTCCACCCCCGCCTCATTTGAAATTCACCCAGTAGAATGCAATTTGTCAAGAGTTGTTCTTTTTCACAGGAAGTTGAAGAGGTTGAATTTGGGTGGCAACGGCTTGACGGAAGTGCCGCAGAAAGCTCTTTCCATTTTAGACACGCTGAAAAAGCTAGAAATGCAAGAAAACCGCCTCACCGACATTAGAGAAGGGGATTTCGAAGGTGAGAAGGCTTTTATGATTTTTGCGACTTGTTCATTGAATTCCTGAGCGAGCGTTGTGTTATGTATTCTTCGCAGGCCTGAGAAATCTCGATTCGTTAGGATTGGCCCACAACAAACTTAGGGAAGTTCCATCCAGAGTTTTCTCGCATCTCACGCTTCTAAATTCCTTGGAACTTGATGGGAACAATATAGAGACGATCGATCCTGAAGCTTTCGTGGGACTTGAAGGTGAGATTCGGAAAACAAAAACTTAAATGCTTTAAACAAAACAGCTTGGGGGAATCTGGGTTTCGAAGCACGTTTTGGCGCGATCTGCATGCGGAGGGCGAAGTTTGCAGCTCATTAACCGTACAAAAAAAAGGTTTCATTTTGATGGTGGAGAAAGACACCAGTTTTGTTTTTCTTTTCGATTTGTATAAGCCACTCGGGATATGCGACTACGAAGCTTGAAATTCGCCGGAATAATCCACTCGGAGCGTTTCCGAATATTGTTTCCGAAACAACTTTTCTGTCATATCTAAATATGTAAGAAAATTCTCCATTTGCCTTTTTTCTGCGGCAGTTAGGCGCAAACTTTTAACTCGGAAGAGTAAAAATGAAAATGCTTCATTTGCAATTTTTATTGCAGAGAATCTTCAGTATTTGCGTTTGGGGGATAATAAGATCAACACTATCCCTACAGAAGCTCTGAAACGACTACACAGACTTCGACACTTGGACCTGCGATCGAACAACATCAGTGGAATATCAGAAGACGCCTTCTTAGGTTTCGGGGACTCTATTACCTTCCTCAATTTGCAGAAAAATTTGTAAGTCAGATTTAATTCAAATTTCTCGCATTTACAGCCCACGCATCTGTAAATCTCCGTGTGATCAAAATAGATTTAAACTTAGACGGAAATTACACTTGAATACCTTTAGAGTATCATAAACAGGAACCTCTTCCGCATTCTAAATTGATCCTTGCGAAGAGAGATTTTCTGTGGCTCATAAACGTATGTCTACGAGCACTTTGCCAGTGTCAAAGACAATATAAGGTTTAGAGGAACTTTGGCGAAAATGCCAAGTTATGGCTCGACAAAATTAGGATCTGTAATTAACGTGTCGCTTTTACGTTTGCTATTAATGCCTTTATGGAGTTGAGTACTTTGAAGTTTCAATTAACCGTGCAGTTGTGACGAAAAGTTGAAGCTTTGATTAGTTGAGTTGGCTGAGTTTTGGATTATCTTAATGATATTTGGAAACAGGGAAGTGAACAAAGGGTTGTCATCTGTTCGAGTTCCATGTGTACACTGCGGCTTCCACTGTACTTGTTTGCAGAATAAAAAACAAAGAACAACTTCGAGTTAAAAAATCATTTCATAATTACCCACAAATACAAAGAGTTGTGTATAAAAAAAAAATTATAATTGGAAGCAGAAGTTGTAAAGACATCCTTTGAAGTTATTTTTCCGCTTATACTTTTTATTAGACAAAGCATTATGTACCTGGAAAATATCATAATACTAAATTCAAACATAAAAATCTTAAGTGCTAAGCTCTTCATTAGCATAAGAAGAGTAAGGCATTAAAAAGTTAGGCATTAAAGTGATGGTGATGGTTTTACAGCTTGAACTTTTTCTTAATAACATTTATGCACGGTTTCACATTCAAACCACTAAAATTTAAAGTACAAATTTGTGATGTATAAGATCATGTCATCAGGTTTCTTAAAGTTTTTGCGGCTTGAATTGAACATTTATTCCCACTCTTAGACGAGCGTTGCCGAGACCAGCTGACTTTGATTTTAATCGTATTAACTATGTGTGCCAAACTTTAAAAGTTTCTAAAAATTTGTTTTCCCGTTTTTAATAGAGCGTCGGATGTTGCTCACGATAAAAAATTTTGAGCTTCACGATTCCGGGAGTATTTGAAAATTTCTCTTCGAACGTTCCTCGCCCTTGTTTGTTTAGGCATCTCTCCGAACTTACTTTTCGAATGTTCTAACGTTGAAGTTTCCTTTGCAAGCATCCGTGCACTAACCGGTATAAGTTTCGAAAACCTCAACTCCCTGGAGACCCTAAACTTGCAGAACAACAAACTGATGCACCTCGGAGAAGACGTGATGGAGCCAATTTTAGACACTCTGCGAGTTGTGGACATAATGGGTAAGTTTAGAGGAATGGAACGATCTGGTTTAAATGCGTCGTTGCAGATAATCCGTTGATATGTCAGTGCGACCTTCAGTGGTACAAGAACTGGCTGAGAGGCCTCAAAGACAAAGACGACGAAATGATGCAGAAGAAGAGAACGGTGTGTATGATGTCGCTGGAGCATCGCGAATATAACCTACAACATTTGCCTTTGGAGAAGTTGAACTGCGCCATAAAAGATCCTAACATTTCGACGAGCGGTTCTAGCCGGATCGGTTATTGTGTTGCGGTTATGGGCATGTGGGCGAGCACAGTGAGAGTCGTTTAACAGTAGTTATAGTTAGAGATGTGTTTCGTTTGTAATTATTATTGAAGTGTAGTTAGCAGGATTAGCTAGAGTTTTAAAGTAAACATTTTATATTTAAAGTTAGATTTATCCTGTTTTGCAACAAGTTAGAGCATGTACGTTGCTTGTAATGATAGAAGAACGTATTTCAAAGCTTCTTGTTATGTATTTCTTAGATTTATGACTTTCTGGGGAAGCTGAAGTAGAGAGACTTGCGTCCGATTTTCATTGCGTATTAGCTTTCAACATCATGGTTAAAGTGATTGTGTCTCTTTCTCGATGAAGGTCGGATCTGGGTGTCTTTACACGGATTCTGCACATCATACATATCAGATATTCCGCATGGAATAGGACTGAGTATCGTCTGAAATTTACATCCACCATTCTCTCGAGTGTCCCAATTCTTAACTATATGTCTTTTTCTCTATCTCTCGATGTTTACGTGATGTCTTAGCTGTAAGTACGACATTTTATTCATTTCTAAATCTCTTGGTTGCGAACGCACACAGCGCAAACATCTAGGTTTTTGATTGGGACGAAAATGGCCTACTAACATATCACGGTGGAGTACATATATCATATCAAAGGTGCCGCATTAATTGTATAAAGAAACTTATTTTTTAAAACATTTCATGCACGTTCTACCATTTTGCGAGACAGAAACGTCCCCGCCGGGGACATTTTCAAAATGTGATCGTCATGAAAGAACTTTTTATAAAATAAGAGGGAGCCAAAATTGCATGGTAGTTAACATAAACATAAGAGATATTTTAACCCAAAAACTTGTGAGCTTGATTATCCATATCATAATTGTTAAAGAAATATTAATTAAGAGTACCTATCTTAGCGTCTAGATATAGCTAGTTAGATAGAGAACATTTGTCAATGCACTATCAGTGTGTTCAGCAAAACGCGGTTACATTTGGAACAAAACCACACGATTGGAATCTCTGCTATCACGTACCTAAAGCCCTAGCTCTAGCTACTAATAGAAAACAACCACCATCCCTTCCATCCCGAATCAAAATTTACTCTGAACATATCATAGTAATAGCTGCGATATTTTGTAAAATTTGTATTAAGGAAAATCGCAATTGTGCAATTGATAAATGGCAAATATTTTTGTGGCAATGTTTTTGTGATCGCTGTTTTTGAGGCGTTGCCAGACCATTTCGAGACATATCCGGTCGAGGTGTTGCAAAACTTCGCGTTGCTATGTAAGCTCAAAGCAAACGTGCAATATTTTTCTAAAAAATTTCTAGTGTCAGGTCGTTATCGCATAGAAACGCGAAGGGCAAACCCGGCCACACCATTTTTTACTATTTTACCGTATTCAATGTGTAATGTCATATTAGCACTATAGTGGAGTACTTGTCTACTATCATTGAAAATGGCTGTTGTGTTTTGTGTCATAATATATTCAAATTATTATATTCAATGTTTCCAAAAGTGTAATATTCTATGTATATGTGAAAGTCAATAAAGAAGTTTATGCTGACACTTACACACTCAGATTTTTCTAATACGAGCGCTTCAAACATAATTTCAATTCTAATGACTTTTTCACACTGTGTTAAACCACGGTGTTAGAATAAAATTGCTCATAAGCCAAATTCACAACACAGCAATGGCAGATTTTACTGATTTTACTGATTACATAATTACAATGACGAATGGAGATTTACTTTATTAAAGACATGTGTCATCTAGCTGTCAAATAACATACACAATGTAAACATAGACATATGAAAATAACTTTGGCTTAAGTTAAATTCCATTTCTAGTCTAATTCGGGCACCGTTTACAAATTTAAGTAGAAATCCACTAAACTAATTATTGTTTTTTTAAATCTATGAGAAAATATATCAACGTCATCATTACTCAATAAATTTGTGGTTGTAACTAATACGAATAACAACATACGAAATGACGAGAAATTATTAAATCTCGTTTCCGTATGTCGTCTGTTCCAACTTTTATTAGACACGTAATTTCCGAAATTACTGGACCGATTGTTGCCAAATTTTGTATGTATATTAAGAAAATCATATAAATGGTGAAACGCTACCCAAAATTTGGTTACTTATCCCCACCAACAAAATTGATGACGTCATTCCTAACAATTCTAATTTTAATTTATACTCCTATATTTGTGGTGTACGATTCCTGAACGGCCAAATGTTCACAAAACGATTCACACAGTGTAGTAACATTTTACCACTAACTCAGGATATAACCGTCCGTTTTTTTCTCTTTTTCTCTCGCGCTGCGTATTATCGATAATTATGACGTCATAACAATTTTTTTGTTGATCAAACACTTCAACTTCATATCCTATTTATGAATGAAATAAATTTAGTAAACCAAAAATACCTTTAAAAAATTTAAACCCAATTATCACCGATTACATTACTGCTACTTAGCGCAACGCCAATCAGAGTAGTTAATGCACGTGCTTTCGATAAAGCTCGGAAATAAGCTCTCCCAGCACTCCCGCGCGTTCGCAGAACGACCATAAACCCAACGTATTCCACCATGAAAGCACAATGAACACTGTCTTATCAGAAATTATGTGATACGGATTAATTTCTGATACATATTGGCTAATTAACATCTGCCAATAAATGTAAATAGTTCACTTTATCTGGATGAGTTTGCGGGCGACATTCGTCCTTTTTATCACCAAGTATTTGCTGAAAGGTACGGAAACCAAATGGGATGACTAAATTCAAAAAGTCCTTGAAACTAGAACTCGAAAAACAGGACGAACACATGAGGTATGTTAATGTGTGTGGTGTGCGACAAGTAACAGAACAGTTGTAGAGAACACAGGGTTAGAGAATGGTTTTCGAAATGGGATAGAACAATAGCTGCGATCACAGCTCTTGTTGTATTTTGTGCCTTACTGATTTTGGTTATCGTAAGTATTAAAGCACGTGGAGACGGTGAAGATGATTCAGAAACCGGAAATGCCACGAAGAAGACGCTCATATTTTATGGGAAAGATAGTTTAAGTTGCGGTTGCAAAACGGAAGGAACAGTGTTAACATGTACGGATACTGCCGTCGAAAATGTGTGCAGTGTCGTTAATGACTGTTCGACCCACTATGAAATGGTAAGTAAATGTATTAATTTGGAACGAAATCATTGAAAGTTAGTACAATATTACGAGCAGTTTTTCGAAATTAATTCTTTTAATCTATACAACAGGATTAATAAAACTAAAGCTGCAATGAATCCCAATATGTACATAAACAAATAAAACAACGATATTAATTAATACGTTTTCGGTACAAACGGCGCCAATTTTTTCCAAAATTTGTACATTTTACGTTTTTCTAGTGCTCTTTTGACAATAAAATGTTTTTCATTCAATTTTACAAAAGTTACACACCGACACTTTCTTTTATCTTGACATTGTGTTATATTTCGTTATCAAAATGTAAAGTACATAAAAGGATCGACAACAGCAGACAGAAGTTTATAAACAGAAAGTACAAAAGTTCAAATTAACGTATCGAGAGTTAAATAGCGTCAATCAAACAAAAGCTTGTCGCCGATTACACGAACACTTATCACACTCATATAGATTAAATTAGAGATAATAAGCTTAAATACAAAATATTGATCGAAAGAAGATATGTTCAATATTCGAAAAATTTATAATCTTATGTTTAATTATTCCAGTTTCGGTGTCTATAATTAAAAAAAAAAAACATTTTGTGTGTTCAATTTTTCTTCACTATGCATTGCAAACTTAATTGACAAAACGCGTCAACGTCTGTATCAAACTTTATTTTTATCCTGTTATTGTTTCATCTTTTTTGTTTTAGACATTCGAGCAACTCATATTAACAAATATCAAACCGCAAAACAACCAAATCGAGGAGGGATGGTTGGACTGCGTCAACTTTAAGATAACTAGGCTAACCATATCAGGCTCTGAACTGACAAACATAGGTGCAAAAGCCTTCAGTGGACCTCAGCTTACGTTAAATTCATTAAATCTGAACAACATCGGTGTTAGCGCTTTCCGCAAAGACATGTTTGAAGGGCTCGCAGTGATTAATCTTGCAATATCTTGTGATTCGTCTGACGCAGATTTTGAGGCAAATGTGTTCGAAGCCGTTTCACGAAAACTCCAAATTTTGCAGATAAGCAATTGTATAAGTCAAAGTGAGGGTAACGATAGACTGACCAATATAACTGGTTCTAGTCAAAACTTAACAGCGCTGGTCCAGCTCGACATTCGGAGTAACAACTTAAATTATATAAAAGCTACCAATTTTCAGAGCGCGAAAAGTCTAACAACATTGTACCTTGGAAATTCAAAAGTCGTCACAATTGAACCAAATAGTTTCAAAGGATTCAGTTTGGGCATGTTGGATTTGAGCTATAATGATGGGCTGAAAACATTACCCAATGGACTTTTCCATTCCGGAACGAAGGGTATCACTATTGCAGGGAACACCTTCAAGTGTGATTGCTATTTGGAATGGTTACAAGAACTGTTCGACAATCGACATGATCTTTTCCAAGAAAAAGTTTTTTACTGTGAAGGTAAATACGGAGAATCTTTACCTTACAAGGAGAAAATCCCGTTTTGCCCAAACGGTACTACTACTACAACTCCTCCACCACCAACAACAACAAGTAAACCAGATACAACGACAACAACAACAAATACACCCGAAGATTCCGACACTACAGATGGATCAACAACAACAGCTGCACCTCCAGCACTAATGAAAATAAAGTGCTCGGACCGTACTGGTGTCAATATAACCCCTCAAGATCAACTATGTGGCGAAGTCAGCATTCGCGACAAAAGTGTAAAGATGGAGTTTTTTGTTCGAAACAAAGATAGTACACCCACTTATCTCTTACAGATCACGGGTAAGGTGTCTAAATCTAGCTTTGAAAACATATTGTGGTACAATACTAATAACAATGATATAATAATGTGTGCTAATAATTTAACTGACGGTATTGAAATAACTCTGGGAGGTCTAGATGAAAACGCCACGTACATTTTCTGTGTGATAGATCCTAGTAATGGCAATGGTACTGTTTCACCTTTAGACTGCGGGGCATTCACAATTCCCTTCCGCATAGACGAAACTCTGGCGTGGATTTCTCAGAACGACATGATTGCCGTCATTTGCGGATTCTGCGGATCTTTGATCCTAGTCAGTCTTATAACTGGTTTCATCGTCTTCTATTGCATCCGCCAACACCCTAGTCTAATTAAAGGCAACAAGCGGGTCATAATTGTGGAAAGTAAGGCAGCAGATGCTATAGTAATGCCTCGGTACTACGACGAAATCAACTACAACCCCCCATCGCTCAACAGCTACAGCAACGGATACCTCACCCCTAAACATCGAGGTGTTTACAGCCCTCCTAGACCGTCCTCACGACTAAGAACAATCTCAGAAAACACCGACTTTTCCGTTCCTACTACAAGTTCAGGGGGAAGAATGAAGAAAGGCCACTACAAGAAACGAACTAGATTGGAACACGTGACAAGGGCTTTTGATGAGCACGTGTACGAACCGCCACCGTTACCCCCGAACCACCCTTCAGGATTCCATTACAACGACAGCTTCAATCGAAATTACAGTCGAGTGTGAAAATAGAGATGAAAATCAGGTCGCAAGGTAGTAGGCAGCCTTGGTTTAGATCAATGTGATAAGGGCAAAATCACGTGCAATAATGCTGCAATATTAAGTTCATTTATGTATAAATAAATTTTTATTAAAATTTGAGGGTTTTATTTAGTGCTTTGGTGTAATTATAAGTTCCGTTGTGGAATAAGGTGATGGCACAAAATCGACGAGAAATAAACACAAAAAGAATTAATTGGATTCAAAAATTAATCAGTAAATCTGATCACTAATTAAACGTGGCAACGTGCCATTGCATTCTGTAATTTTGCTTTTGCCAAGTGTGAGCTGCCACTTTTCACAGCAGGCTAATTCACAATTGATATAAAAATTAATAACATCTGCCTGTTCCCCCAAAAATATTATCAATACACTTGTCAAAATAGAGTTCGGAGTGTAATCAGTAATTACACACAACGGAGATCCATCTGTTGACACGACTGGACAAATGCATGTCACACATGCCAAATAAACGGGGTATACATCAATATATTATTAATAAAGACTTACTACTTATATTATTTACTTGATTTATTGCACACAGTTTAAATTAGTCATCTCCACCTGTCATCACCTCCATAAATTCTGCAAAATACGAACACTTATAATCGCGATAACTAAGCCAAAAATCAATTACCATCGTAATCAACGGTCCCTGATCCATCGGTATCAATCTCAGTAATGATACCATCTAGCTCCTCATCGCTCAAGTTATTATCTAACTCTCTCAAAATTTCTTTAAGTGTGGCAGTGGTAATGTAACCGTTCCCTAAACACGTCAAACTAGATTAAGCTAAAAATCATGAACAACCAAAACTGACCTTCTTTGTCGTATAACCTGAAGGCTTCTTTCAATTCTGACTGCATTGCTTCTGCATCTTCCTCTGCCATGAATCTAGAGGCAAGAGTGATAAATTCTTCAAATTCGAGTTCACCGGAACCTGAAAATTTTGATTTCAGGGTTGTACTTTTACCAGCGAAAATTACCATCAGCGTCCACTTCTGCGATAATTTCGTCCAAAATTTGTTCGGTTGTTTGGACACCCAACATACTCAGGATGGTGCCAACCATGACGGTTCCAATGCTGCCCTTCTTCTCGACATCGAAGGTGTCGAAGGCCTTCCGTAGAACTACAAATGAATAATTAAACTAGATTCTAGTTAAAAAAAATTAATAAAATACTTACGGGCAATCTGATCCTTGCTGAGCTCATCCTAACAAAAGATTTAACTAATTAATTTCGGTGTTGGTCAACACACCACTTACCATTCTTTATGGATAGATTCTTTGATGTTGGTTGATAGCAATATGAAACACGTGTAAAGCACTCTCTTATAAAAGTTCGCATGCTCCGAATAGTGGGGTCGTGACAACTTCAAATTTTTTCGGAATCCAGCTGTTCATGTTTTAATTACTCGTAAAATCGAGAACAGAAGCGGATTGGGAAAAAAAGAGCCCTCGTAATAGAAAAATTAGACAAAATTCCAAAATCAGAGCAAAACAAAATTTTAGATACGAAAAATGGTTAGTAAGATTTTTCATTTAAATTAATAAACTATTGCAAAAGCTCATTGTAAAAGTAATGATTTTTTGTATTTATTTTTGTATGGAACCAATCAAAATTTTAAACAAAAAAAATTTTTTTACGCCACTGATTTAAACTGAAACTATTCAAGAAGCATTTAGCAATGATAAAAAATTTAGAAACCGACAGAGTAATTAAACAGTAAATTAAAGTGTGATTCACTGATTAGAAACACTGCAACTAAATAATTATTTGGAAATTTAATTTTTGACCAGTAACACTAGCGTGACGACACAAATTCGACGAGCCGACTCTGGAATTTCAGTTATCCGTCGCCACAAAAAAGAATCGATAGTTAAAAAAATAGAATACTAAATAATTTTTAATAAATAATGTTTCATCTGTGAACAAGAAAAAATAAATGAAGACCATCAAACGCCACTCCTAGTGATTAAGTTAGATTACAGTTTCAGATTCAAATGTAATTATGATTTTTCATATAGTTCTTTGGATATACTTAATTAGTTATTGCTTTACCAAAAAATATTATTTTTGCCTTGCCCCAATACTACATTTTGCTCCATCTTCCCCTAGATACAAACAAAAAAAGGTTTAGACGATTTGGTAATATATACCGACTTTAGAGTCCATTTAATTCGATTTATTTCCAAAAAAAAACAATAAACTTTTAAATATAAATTAATAAACCTGTTTGTTGGAACACGAAGGGTCTAAAATAGTACACAACAGCTAATTTTGGCAGGTTTTTTTTTAAGATAACACGTTTTCGTTCTGTAAATTGCATTCGTTTATTTTAACGTAGCAGCACATTTTATTTAATGGAGTTAAGTTTGCCACTGAAGCCATAATATTTATGTTAATTTTCACTGAATTCTGAAGAAGACAGATTAACTGACTTCAAATCTTGGCAAACTATTTATTTGAAAGATTTGACACTTTAATCCTGCATTATATTCGCTGTTATGTAAAGTTAATAATCCGTGTTGTAATAAATGTTTTGAGTTCAACCGCAATGTCAAGTGTAATTTCACACACCTGGCACAATGCACAAATGCATGTCACACGAGCCAAGTAGTATTACTCAGCAGTCACCGTAACAACAAACAACAAAGTACTATAATTATTTATTTAATTTATTAATTATAAGTTGAATTAGTCATCTCCACCTGTCATCACCTCCATAAATTCTGCAAAACACATAATATCATAATCCTGATAAACAAGTCAAAAAATCAATTACCATCGTAATCAACGGTTCCTGACCCATCAGTGTCAATCTCAGTAATGATCCCATCCAGCTCCTCATTGCTCAAATTATTATCTAATTCTTTAAGAATTTCTTTAAGCGTGGCGGTTGTAATGTAACCATTACCTAAACACAAACACTTAAACGTGACCCCAAAACCCTTAAAACTTACCTTCTTTGTCATATAACCTAAAGGCTTCTTTCAATTCTGATTGCATAGCTTCCGCATCTTCTTCTGCCATGAATCTAGAAGCCAGCGTGATGAATTCTTCAAATTCCAGTTCACCGGAACCTGGAAAATTGTAACGTTTTTTCGGGGGTAAATTTTTATGTGGGGGAAAATACCATCAGCGTCTACTTCTGCGATAATTTCGTCCAGAAGTTTTTCAGTTGTGTGGACGCCCAACATACTCAAGATGGTACCAATCATGACGGTGCCGATGCTGCCCTTCTTCTCGACATCGAAGGTGTCGAAGGCCTTTTGCAAAACTGGAATCGAATGTAATAAATTCTAGCAAAACAGTTACACAAATATTAAAATAAAAATTAAAAATTTTAAAATCCTTACGGGCAATTTGATCCTTGCTCAGTTCATCCTGGAACAATAATTTTAATGTGTAGCTGCACTATACGCGTCAACACAGCACTTACCATGGTGTGGAGAGATTCTTTGATCTTACGTGCAAGCAATACGAAACACGTGTAAAGCACGGGCTTATAAAAGTTCGCATGCTCCCACTAGTGGGGTCTCGACAACTTCATTTTTTCGGAAACCAGCTGTTCATTCGTGAATTAATCGTAAAATAGAGAACAGAAGCGGATTAAAATAAATAAGCGCTGGAGGCTGAAAAACTGAAACAATTGAGTATCTCTGTGGTACACCAAAGCGTTTTTTTCAGTTCCATAAAATTTAGGAGCGGATGACAGGTTTATAAAACATAAATTTCCAGCGAACTAACGTCTTGATAATTTAAGTCATATTTTAGGCATTTTGCGTGAAAAAAATGATAAATGGAGCAGCTGCGCTGTCAGTTTTTCTTTCAATAAGTAAATTATTATTGAAGCGGTGTCCAGTCGGGTCTTGAAAAACTTCCATTCCTACCCTGGAATCCCTGCGTGAAACAATGTGAGCGATTTAGTAAAACAATTTATCACTTATGCTTGCGTTGGACACGTGGTCTCTCCCCACAAAGTTTTATACCCGCTTTCGTGTTTGGCGGTTGTCCAAAGAGTGCTCCAATCAGATCAGTTTATTTAAAATTCTAATCTACTATAAAGTACCTACTTCGAAATGTTAATGTAGTCTAGATAGTGACGTTACACTCGAGCCCAGACATCTGCCCTTGAGTTATTTATTTTTGTTTACGGGAATTTCCTTTGTTATATTTTAACTGCTTCCGTGTTCTCGATTTCCATTGAGTTTGGCATGCCTATTTCCCGTGGGACATCCTGTAAAAATTGGAGCTTTTATCCAAGGCGGTTTATTATTCTAAATTTGGAGAATGAGGCGATGTAAAAATAATGTTGCCTCAATACAATGCTGGCTGAAAATAGGTGGATCTAATTTATAGTTGGCTAACGGAAATTTTCCGAATAGTCTGGGTGTCTATAAAAGAAATCCATTATACTTTGGGAGGCTCCACAATAAATAAAAAAATTCTAAATACATCTATAAATACTCATAAAACGGTCCCAAACTATTCATTGTACGTCTATGGAGCGTATGACATTTCGATACTTAAAATAATAGGCTCTCTTAATAAGCACCCATTAATCTATTTTATGCATTGGAATGTACCCCTTCTCTGTACTTAAGTAGTTATCGAACTCTTCGAGTCCAGTGCACTCCAGGTGCTAATCCTTTAACCATGGTAAATATCCTCCCCAAAAACAAATTTACCATCTTCAGTTATATTTTTTTAGGACGAACTAGACAAAGAACAAATTTCAAGTAAAAACACACAATCTCAGTTACCACCGTTTAAAAAATGTTTTTAAGTGTTAAAATCAACCTTCGACGCCTTCGACGTCGACAAAAAAGGGTACATCGAAGTGGAAATGATTGGAATCATTTTGGACATGTTGGGAACTCAGTTAGTTGGCGAAGAACTCGACAACATAATTTCAGAAATCGACGAAGACGGAAACGGTGAAGTTAATTTTGAGGAGTTTGCTAACATGGCGGCTAGATTTTTAGTGGAAGAAGACGAAGATACGGAAGCTGTACAAACCGAGCTTAAAGGAGCTTTCAGGTTGTATGACAGAGAAGGCAACGGTTTCATTACTACTGAGGTTTTGAGGGAGATTTTGAGAGAGCTTGACGAGAAACTGACTGAGGATGATTTAGACAACATGATTGAAGAAATAGATACTGATGGATCAGGCACGGTCGACTGGGACGGTAAGTCGTTCTAACTCGACAACTGAAAAATATTTCTTCGTTTTTAGAATTCAAAGCGGTCATGATTGGTTAAAAACGATAATTAATCTTCAGAAAATGCATTTGTTAATTTTTCACGTAATAAATAGTAGTTGAATTGACTCCACTTTTATTGCGTATTTCAAGCGTAACCTTGTTCCGGTGTACTCAAAATCGGCTATTATTTTTTACCCACTATCCCCTCCTTCATTGAAAGGTGACTCTGATTGATAGTTCTATAAATATTTCGTCCTTTAATTAAACCTGCTTTAGTTAATTAGATTCTGCTCAGCATCAAGTACACGACAGGTGAAAAATGGTAGGTTTTTACTTTCATTTTCTAGTTTTATTCAGTTTGATTTTTTTAAAGGAAGAGGAAGAACTAGAGAAATTCAAAGACCTCGATATCTCCAAAGATCAGTTAAAATGTAAGTAACTAGAAAGAGTGTTAACTATAACGTCTCCTTAGTGCTTAAGCAGATTTTCGATTCCTTCGACTTGGAGAAAAAAGGTGAAATCGGTGTGGACATGATCGCACCAATTCTAGACATGTTAGGCCATCAACTAGGAGTCGAAGAACTACAGGTAGACCCAATTTTTCGTTTGCACTAGAAACCAACTCAAAATTTCAGGGAATCATCTCAGAAATCGACGCAGACGGCAATGGCGTGATGAACTTTGAAGAGTTTGCAAATTTAGCTTCCAGGTTTGTAGTAGAGGAAGAGGAAGACACTGAAGCGATTTTACGAGAGCTGAAAGATGCGTTTCGACTGTACGACAAAAACGGCTTGGGTTACATCAGTGTTGACTTACTAAGAGAAATTTTAAAAGAGCTCGACGACAAGTTGACTCCTAACGATCTTGAACAAATGATCGAAGAGATTGATACCGACGGTTCAGGAACCGTCGATTGGGAAGGTTAGTAATTTTTGGCAGGAAATTAAAAACGCAACTTCTGATTGCTTCCGTTTCTAACAAAGCGTTTAATTTATTTTTGATAATTTCAATTATGTAAGTGCAAAATTGTTTATATAATTTTGTATAATTTATTTGCAGAATTCAAAGCGATGATGATTGGATAAAAGTGTATCCCGTAATTAACAGTCAACGCAATTAGAAAACAGTGATAATATTTCGAACACAATTTAATTTCGTCCTGTCATCGTGCCAGAACTTCTATAATAAGTATGACGCTGTTATCGAACGTAAGAACATGGCATTGTCAAAACTTTAATTAAACGTGTTTTGTATCAAACGTTAAAAATATCACCAACAGGCTACGTTCCCATATATCTGTATTTATAATATTAATACAAACATGTACAAGTAAGGACGTGTTTTATTTGCCAAATCGAGATGATGTTGAAATAAATCAACACATCAACCTCATTCTGCGAGCCAACACTCGTAAGCAAAAATAAACAGGTGAGGAAAATGTTTATAATTGCCGACTGTTGTCAGGACAATGTGCAAAAATGGGAAGAGTGCCGAAATTCAACAGAAGTAAATTATAATAAATTATATCAAACTTAAATCTGTTTTTTCATTTTTTTATCATTGCTATTATTCACATCAATTACGGATACAAACATGTGTCACATTATGTAATAATTAACTAAAAACTCAAACCACACTACAACAATAATGTATGATGAGTTGCCTATAACTTTCATTATGTTGACTCGACAAATTTAGATGTCCACTTGTATACGATCTTCCGGTTGAAAATTATAAATTTATTTTTGGACCTTTTGCCGAGTGTCAATTGGTAATTTTTATTAATTTTTTCTTACTTCTTACCATTCTTACTATTTATTTATTCAATAGTTTTATAACCCTAGATTCTCGTCATTTAAAACCTAAAAAATTGAGAAGGTAGATTCTAAAAAAGAAATTCCACGGTATGCAATCCATACACGGCACGTGGCGGTCTATTATCAGATCAGTGTTGGGGTTTATGTGAATCCTTGTGCGGTGAAGATAAATTAATCACGTTCATAGTTTACCGATATTTTCAGTCAAAACAACACAAAAAATTGTCAACAACCACATAATTTGCACTTGATATTTAAAAATATCAGCGCGTTATTAAATAATTTAGTTTTTCTGAAACCGCCAAGTTATTAATTTTCCTGACAGATTTTGGTTAGATAAACACCGTTTTGCAGGTTATGAAAATAGTCGAAATGTCTTCACTTATAAATATTTAACTGTATTTACAAATTAAATTAATGTGAAACATTAATACTAATGGATAGCTGCATTTAAATATTTATATGTTTGTCCTTGCTAGTAATGCAACTGAGGCAGACATAATATCTTCACTGGATAAAATCAGATAATTCAGATATTGATGATTTATTAACTTCGAAATATTTTGGTAATTTTTTCATACCCTTCAGTTTCGAACTGGTTTTCCAAAAACTGTGCTTTTGCAGATAAATAAATCGCAGGACTACGCTTAAACAACGACCTGTTTATTTCGCATGTTCAATTCTATAAATTATTATTTATTATTATCTTTCGATCTTATCTTTTCTGATCGCTGAATTTCAGGTAATGTTTATTAAACCATGTTGAAATTTTAAAGATCACCGTAATTTACCTTGAAAAAAAAATAATGAGGTTAAGTTTTGCTGTGAAATACATAAAACGTTTATTGCCAAGATGAATAAGAAATGGGTCTTTAAACAATCAATAAATAGAATAAATACTATCTTCTAGATTAACATATGGGTGTAGTTAATAACACAATGATTATATTCAACTAGATACAAATCTAATTAATAATGACTTTATACGTATGATAATGTGGATTTTACTATTTGTCACAGTGTGTAATGTCTTACAGATTTCTCCATCATTATACTTAGGGTTTCCCTCCACTTTTATTGTTCCGATACCATGAAACCACATAACCACAATATATCTAGTAATAATTTGGAATATAGCTGTGGTTAACGGAAGTGGAGTAAAAAAATTGAAATAAACTAAAATGACAGATTTATCGTGAAGAGAAAAAAATAGGTAATTCAGCGAATCGTTACATGAATAAGTTCCTTTATAACAGGTGTCTGGAAAATGGCGAATTAAGTCTTCAGTACGTTATGTACGGGGTCCCAAAAAAAATTATTAAAAAATTCTTTATGATGCAGATTACGAAAAAATAGTTATTTTCCTAATGGCGTCCGTTAAAGCATAACCAACTAAACACTAGAGAAGATGTTCAAAATTCCTGCCTTGTACTTATAAGTAAGCTCGTAATGTTCTCAAATTTTGACCGTTTTTTATTAAAGTTAATCATCAGTACTTGCTAAGATAAAACTGATTTTGGCAAATAACATACCCCCTAAGAAAATAGAGGGTGGGTGGGCGGGGCTAGTACTTGATAAGATAAGGCTCATTTTGGCAAATGACATACCTTCCAAGAAAAAAGAGGGTGGGTGGGCGGGGCTGGTACCTGCTAAGATCATACTGATTTTGGCAAATGAGATACCCTCTAAGAAAAGAGGGCGAATGAGCATAGCTAGTACCTGCTAAGATAAAACTTATTTTATCAAATGACGTATCCTCTAAGAAATTTAATTACGTTATTATAAAAAAAGACACTAGAGGCTCTAAAGCACTTTCAAATTCTTTCCAAACAAGAATACCTAGAAGCTGAAAATTGTTTTAAATTTTCGAAAAAAAAAACGGGGTCCCAAAGTTAAATCAAAAACAGGTCATGTCAGAACTTTTCAAAAATAGAGCACCAAAGTCCCCCAAAATTATTTTAAATAATTTACAAGAAAATCTTCATGGGTTCCCAAAATATTACACCATGGGTACCCAAACACTGCGGCAGTCGACTTTTTCAAATTCGTAAAAAATAAAACAGCAAACAACAAAATTTATCTTTTAAATTTATCCGAAAATAGGCGACCTAAAATTAACTGCGAACATTTTAAACGTAGGGTTTTGAAAACTTTTGATAACTTTGACACCCGGTATATCGTAACAGCACTTTGAATGGACGCTACTGATTTGAAAAACGGGACAGTGACTTTGTGAAAACTATTTGATTTGTCAAACAAAACATCAATTAAATCCTAAATTTTTTTAAAATTTGGAAGTGTGTCAAAAATTATTCAAAAAAATCTATGAAATGACAACCGAAGCTTTGGAAATTTTGACATTTATTTGACACTCTAACAAAAATGTGTTAGTTCTTTTTGTTTTTAAAGAATGGGTTCAATGGAGCGATTTATTAGCATACCAAATCTGATTCAGAATACTAGAGATTCTAGAGATACTAACTACACTCGCCCACCCTCTCTTTTCCTAGAGTGTATGTCATTTTCCAAAATCAGTTTTATCTTACCAGGTACTAGCCGTGCCCACTCTCTTTTTTTAGAGGGGATCTCATTTGCCAAAATCACTCTTATCTTAGCAGGTACTAGCCCCGCCCACCCACCCCCTCTTTTCTCACAGAGTATGTTGTTTGCCAAAATCAATCTTATTTTAGCAGATATTAACCCCGCCCACCCGCCCTCTATTTTCTTCGAGGGATCTTATATGCCAAAATCAGTCTTATCTTAGCAGGTACTAGTCCCGCCCACCCACCCTCGAATAAATGAGGCTGGAAGTGGCTTCTGCGGCTCGAAATCTACAAGAGAATGTATTTAGTTAGATCTCAAAAATCGTCGAAAATTGGTCATAACGGGGGTATACATTGTGGAAAATGCCATTTTTGCCATGCTCGATTGTAAGTGCTTTGGAGCCTCTAATGTCTTTTTTTGAATATAATAATTTAATCAAATAACTTAAAGGATACATCATTTGCTAAAATCAATCTTAACAGGTACTAGCCCCACCCACCCGCCATTTCTTTTCTTAGAGTGTATGCCATTTGCCAAAATCGGTCTTATTTTAGCAGGTAATACCCCCCACCCCCACCCGCCCTCTCTTCTCTTAGAGGGTATCTCATTTGCCAAAATCAGTCTTATCTTGGCAGCTATTAGCGCCGCCCACCCACCTTCTGTTCCTTAGAATGTATGCATTACCAAACTCAGTTTTATCTTAGCAACTTTGATGACTAACTTTGACAAAAAATTTTGAACATCTTCTCTACTATTTAGTTGGTTATCCTTGTATGGATTTTTCTTTTGTTGGTTTTGTCCTTCTTTATAACTTTTTAAATGTCGTATTAAAAGTTTTTTTTTGGTTTGTTTTATTAATAATAATCCACAACTATTAAGGACTACTGGTTGTTATGGTTATTGTCCTAAAAAAAAATAAATTGGTGGATTTCAGTCACCATCGTTACTAAGAAATCAGAAAGTAAGCCGGAGGTATTCACGCGTAACTTTTATAAAATTACGTTTTCCTAACGGCGTGCGGAAAGTGACTAGTTTCCGCACGCTAACCCGTGCGGGAAGAGATACTTTGCCGCACTAGTGCGGGAAGTAAAATGTAAGTACATTTCGAACATTTATTGATTAATGATTACAACTATTTATATTAAATATAAACTTGTTTGCGGTTAAACAATTGCATTCGCAGTACCTTAACTACTCAACGATATGATTTTCGAATGTGCTGCGATTTCTAAAGACGCCATTAGGAAAATAACTATTTTTTCGTAATCTACATCATAAAGAATTTTTTTATTTTTATTTTTTTCGGACTCCCGAAACCCCCGTACTGAAGCGTTAATCCGACATTTTCCATACACCCGGTATATTAACAAAAATAACAACTAAAATTTTGAGATGACGTCATGAACTGTTTGAAGTGGATAGATAGACAAATCTGGTTATGCATTACCATTTTCACGACACACTTACCTACTATACATCTAAAAGCTTAAAGTATTCAATTAGATAATATCAGAGATCAACTCTTGCAATTTCCAGCAGACAGGCGACAGACGACAAACAACGGAAACAGGAAACTTGCACTTTCGTGTTTTACGAGGTGTGAAAGCGAGAGGTCAACAAAACATGAATTGGGCATCCATTAAATGTCGTTATTACAATAATTCTCTAATACACGCTGCCTGTCTGGACGGAAAAGTGCATTAAAAATTAATTAAATCCATTACGTGTAGTGTTATTACCACGTTATAAATTCTTTTTCAGACTCTATATATAACGCAATAGATTCCTCTGTAAAAATGCTATAAATAAGCGTCAGTCTGCTGCACATGATTGGAATTTGGTACCTAATCGTGTCATTTCATGACGCAACATTTGTTTTTATATAAATTCTGTCAACGGTAATTTATCAAATATTAACAGAT